ATCAGTTGTCCCATGATCAATTTCCTGTGATCAGTTGTCCGCTCACCATCACAATATAGTTCAGTACAACCATCTGTTATAATTTCATCGAGTGAAATACCTGATTCACCACCATATGAACCAGAAATTGCTAATGAACATCTTGATGAAGGTATTAATTTTCGATCATATAGATATTCAACGAGTGAAAAGGGTACCAATCAATCTTTCTGTAATAATAATGGAAATCAAAGCGATGATGAAGATGAATATGATGAAGTAAAAGGTCAGCAATTAATACAACGTGTTATTGAAGAATTTCTCAATAGAAGGTTAAATAAATTATTTCAAATTATTTCTCTAATCGTTTTTTCCTTCTTTCAGATCCATCAAAATACATCAACAAGATAAAAAATTGTAATCAAATACTATGATGCTATAGACTGGTATCATAGATCTTTTTTTTTTTGCTTGTATTTTTTTGCTTGTATTTTTTTTTGCTTCTGCTTTTTCTTTTTTTGCTTGTGCTTTTTCTTTTTTTGCTTGTATGTTTTTTTTGGTTGTGCTTTTTCTTTTTTTGCTTCGATTTAATAATAACAATATAACATTCATGAAAAAGAAAACAAAATCAAGATTTTTTTTGGAATAATTTCACAAAATCAGAACAATCTTCATGTTCTGTTTAAAATGATTCATGATCCAGAAATATCCCGAACAAATCAAAAAATCTATCTACTTAGGGCAATCCAAAAATAGTGAGCCTGATATCGTATTTTCGTATAGATCGCTTGAAAATTTTTCTTTTTTTTTGAACAGATAGAGCGTCTTTCGCTCTATTTTTCTGTACTATTTGATCCAAGGGGGAAAAATCTCATTCACGGCCATTCATAATGGCTGCGAATGGATGAGGATGTGTGGGAATGGCTGAGAATGGCTGGAAATGGCTCGGAATGTCCGAATGAGATTTTTCCGCCTTGCCAAAACCCAAACAGCTCCAGTATCTCTATAGTACGATTCTTCATCCAAGTAATAAAGATAAATATCGATAGTAAAATTCTATTTTAATCTTTACCTTGGAAAAATATTTTCCGACACTCTTCGATTTGCTATAAATGTTGTTCTTTTCGGTAATTGTAACATTGTTTGATCAACTTTTGTTAATTTTAGTTTTGAATTAATAGAAGAAGTTGTATTTTTAATTAAAAATTGATGATTAGTTTTACTCGATGAGATTTTTGATCCTAGTTCTAAACCAATTATTTCTAATTGTTTTTTTCCGGATTGGTCAACAAATGGAACAGATGACATATGATTTTTTTTATTATTAAATTTACTATGTAATAAATGACGTTCTTTATTTGTATCCATATTTGAATTAGTCTATTCAAAAACAAATCAATGATAAAATTTAGAAGAATTATTAGTTTTGGTTTCTCTTTTTGAAATTTAACCTGATTTGAATGATGAAGATCATTTGACTAAATAAGAAAAAAAATTAGTTTTCATAAGAAAAACCAACTTTAAATCTTACTAAAGATACACCAGCAATATATTCATATTTAAATTGTTGATGTGAATCAACGGTATTCATTCTTATTATACGCAAATCAGACAATGAATTCTATTAAGTTTTGATTCTATTATCTTTGAAGGTTTATTTCTTTTTTTTTTTTTGTTTCTTTTTTATTTTTACTTTCACTGTTATTTTATTGATTACTTAAATAAGAAAAAAAAATCAGTAAGGAAAAAAACGATAAAGAGAGAAGAGAGAAAAAAATCGGTACAAACGTAGAAATCGACACGAACAAACACAAACATTATTAATGTAAAAAAAAAATGAAAAAAGTATTAAAAATAACTCTTATAACAATAACAATTGTTCGTTTCGCATAATTATTTTTTTTTCGTACTTCTACTTAACAAAAACGTCCATCATTTCAACATAATCTTCTTTTGTATTATTTTGTTCATCATTTATAAATGGCTTCTCATTTTCTAAAATTAATTTTCCATCATTATTATTTACTTTTGCTGTTAAATTTTCATTTTTCTCCAATTCTTTTCTTTTTTTATATTTGATTACACGACTGCGTATCATATAAACAAGCCAAAATGGTTTTGTTGTTAAAAAAGCTACGACAAGTGGTACAACAATGGCTTTTGTAGCATATGGTTGAGGAAATGAATAATACATAATCATGAATGCAATACCAGTATTTTGTATTCCAGCTTCAATACCAACTGTTTTTATATGAGACCAATTAAGACGACATACCCAGGCAATGAAAGCACCAAACATAAAGCCTAAATAAGGTAATAATGGGGCTGTTAATGCTGTATGTAAATCAATTGTTCTAATCAAATACCAATTAACAACCGTGCCGAAAATAAGAAAAAATAACAACAGAAATAACATCATTGGTTTCACAAGAGTTTGAACAATGGAACGAGTTTTTGGTGAACAATAAACTCATTCATAAAGGACGTTTGATAAAGTTTGACATTCTTTGAGTCCTAATTCTAGATATTCATTTTGCAAAAAAAAACATTTTCTAAAGAATCTGTTTGTTTAAGTAAATTTCTGTCTGCAATAGAAGGTCTTTCATATTAGAAGACTCACCTTGAACAAATGATGTGCTGGACATAATGGAAGAATCGAAGTCATCTGTTGCGAGAATAGATTTACATTGATTTTGTTTCCTATTAAACCATGTTGTATTGATTAAGTCTATCAAACGAAGAAATGAAATATGTATATAAGAATTTCAGCTGTTTTCTTTTAGATGTTGTCAGAATCTCGATTATTCCTTATGGATACTCTATGACAATCGAAATCTAATAAAAGATAAATCACCTAAGTTAATTGTTTGTAGTTTTATTGAATTCAACAGCTGTTTATGAATCATAACCAAAACGAGTTTATTTCAACGTTTCTTATGTTTTTTTGAAAAATATATTGTATTTTAATAAGTCTATTGTAACAAGTTGATGAAAATGATAATCAATGTTTGGTGACAAAGAGTATAGTAGTTGTAAAATACTCAAACACAATTAATTAAAAGATAATTGATTCTCTAAGTAAATTTAGAACACCTTAAACATTATTATAGTTGAAGCTTTTGTAACTTTGGAAAGTTTTCCATCTGATAGAGCTTTCATATGCATCATTTGTTCGTCCATGTTTCCTCATAGAATTCTGATGATACTCTTTTTAAGATGCTGCTCAAAATCAATTTGAAAATTTTGTGAAAAATACTTAAAAAAGACAACAAGACAGTCGCACTAACAATTGAACTACTTCAATTGATATCCGCTGGTTGAGCTCATATTGAAATCGCCGGTAAGTGTCAGCGAGACTATGCAAAAAACTCAAATTGTTCATCTCCATAAGCATTTGGTGCCAAGTTATGATCAATGCACTGAATTTTCGACCTATTTAAGGTACCTTTTGAAAAGGTAAATGACAGAGTTTGATCCAAAATTTTTGGCCTTATAAACGTATATTATCTCCTAGAATATCCTAAAAGTTACATCTGAATAGAATTTTCCTTTTTCGAGTTGTTGTATTATCAAGTGAACTCAATTTTTATGACATGTCTCTAGCAAAGAACTATTTTTAGAAATTGATGAACATGTTGACCATAAGATATTTTTTCGGTTGAAATTTTCTGAATATTCTAACGGTTATTAGATCTATGTATAGGCAAAATTTTAGATCGAAACTAAATGATTTTATTGTTTGGGAACTTTGTATAAGTGGGTTGAAAATTTGGGGTGTGGGTGAGTGTGGGTGTGGATGTGAGTGTGTGTCGGTCAGAGTACTGGGAAGATCTTTATCTACACCCACACCCACACCAACACCCACACACCCACACCCACACCCACACACCCACACACCCACACCCACACACCCACACCCACAC